GATTCTCGCACAGTCATTCAACATGTTTCATTGATTTCTCACTGCTGAATGCTTTCAGTAGTGAATACAATGAGGATTCCTCGAAAGTGGACGATCGATCGGTTGTCCGATAGAGTAAAGCGAAAATGAATTATGGCAACTTTTTTTTGAATCGGGAACACACACATATCGCAGCAATTGGGTTACAAAAAAATATCAATCAGCATGAATGTGCACAGTTATAATCTCCTTTCTGGCTAGTAATGAGCGATCCTTATGAGAAAAATGCATCCAGAAATTCCTTCTCCGAACTTGCAAGTAACGGCTATGCTGAAAAATCGACCGCTTTTGGAACTTTTAAAATCATGAAAAAACTGAGATCATGTGCTATGGAAGAGAAATTGTGAAATCATCATCATGTTCTCCGTGAATGGCAAGGACAGTGAAACTTACCGGTTGTCCTGAATTAACAAGTGTACCACGTACATCATGAGTTGCATCCGGTGGTACCGCGTAATCACCTTCTTTATTAATGACCACATCATGACTTCGACGTCGATTCGACGAGCGTGAGCTTTGATCTGAACGTCTCGATGGCGATGAACACAAATCGCTCGTCTGAAATCCACATCAATCAATCAATCAATCTTCGCTGATTTATTCCACCACATTCAATGTAATGTTGATAAATGTGTCAGTTTTTGCATTTCAATTCGAACAGCAGCAGCAGCAGCACAATGTGTTGCTTCTAAGCAATCGCATGCTTCTTTAGAACGATCGCAATTCAACGGCACTCGTCTTATTGCACTCAAATGAGGAGATGATGTGCTCACATTATCGTTGAGATGTGCCTTATTCAGTAGTGTGCTGCATTGTGCTGCGTCGTCATCATTCAGTACCGTACTCAAACAACGGTCTGCCATTTGATACAGTTTCGTCTCCTGAACAAAGCAAGTGAGTGTGAAATGATGCTTTAAAAAAACATGAACAAAAAATTTGAAATATGAATGGTTCATTCCAGGTGAGGTGAATTCGAATAGGAAATGAATTAAGTTAGGAAATTGATTGATGAATGTTTTTTGAGGAGATTTTTCCGCATAGTGATTAACATCGCTATCGTACGCGTCAATCAAACACAACAATAAGAGTATTGTGACAAGACTGTCACTGTGATATATATATAGAAATCGCAAATATCAGACAATCGAAAAAATGCAATTGTTTTCTTGAGTGACACCATATGAGACACTTAGTGGTGTTGAATCGATGAATGGAACGTTTCATCTGAATCATTGTTTCGGTGAAATCTTTCAAAACATTTCGAAGGCAAAAGCATCGCACTCTTCCACATTGCTACCAGATGTGTAATGCACACGAAAGAAAATTTCAATGGTAATCGATTGGGTTTCAACAGGACTTCTCAGCAAAATGCATTATGAAATTTTGCAGGAATCTGCGTCAGCATCAATGAGAAACTCTCAAAGTATCGCAGATTTACTGATCACTTTGACAGTATTAAAAAAGAAGTGTTTGATGATGGTACAAACCCATTGATTCGGAGGTCGATGAACAGGAAGCGCAGGTGCAGTCGTCTTCATTATATCAGCATACTCCGAATTTGTCCCCAATAGGAACATTTCGCTAAGATTCACATATTCGGCAGCATCCCTGCAAAGTTGTCAGAAATTCTCCATATATATTACTGATAGAAATATCAAAACATAAATAATTTCGTTTGAATGTCTCAAGAAAACATTTCCTAACGGAGCAGACCGTGTTGTGAAATAACTTCAACGAAGCAATTTCTTGACAACCCTCGTGAGAGTGTAACGAATGCAAAGTAAACGAACGCACGTGGAATGAAAGTGAAACTGTGAGCGAGAATGTTAACAGTGGAATTCTAGACGAAAAGTTTCAATGAATGAGCGATTAGTACACAACGAATACCGCTTATATAAATCAACATGTGTTTGTTTGTATGAGTTGGGAAATGATAGAATACTAAAGGAACATTTGGGAAGTGGGTGGTTATAATTCGGTGTACTGCTGAACGATCATAAAATTTCGGTGTACTGCTATCAATAAAAACGATTGTATAACTTACTTTTAAACTTCCTTAACAACATCGCCACCAACAACAACAACGTAAACATCAAATACAAGCGAATGACTCACAAGAGCATTCATTCGTCTTGTTTTATTTTATTCAAACTCTTTGCAGAGAACAACCAACAACTCACTGTTCATTTGGCGACTGAGGGAAATCAATTTCGTCGAAAATTTCGTCATCCTCTTCTCTGTAATCATTTTCGTCATCGTATGAATTCAAGCTGTCGCGTTCGATCTGAAAGCAAATCGGTATTTCTTCACATCAAGATGATATGCGTTTGACATTTCCAGGTGGACTGATCAACGATTGTAGACAATGATCAAAAGCACAGCCTCTAGTGAACATCGCTTGAGTTTCGCGAAACACGTTAAATCCATTTTTTATCAAACACATGCTGTGTTTGTCTTCCAGCATGAAGTGTGTCGTAATGCAGTTGATTAGATGGCATACAAAGGAAACAAATGCTCGCCATCTGCGATTTTAATTCGTCTTGCTTCTTGTAATCTAATTGGAAGCTAGAACGGTGAATCTAAACAGGTAAACGTTTAAAATTGATTTGCGCTGAAATCCGATTGAAATCCGATTTGCGTTGAAATCTTGATAGTCATTGAAAAAATTAACATTCACCATTAAATAGTGTGGATTATCGCCCGTTCAATAAATTTTCGAATGCGCAATTAGGAATGATAAGTGATGAGTATGTGATGAAGAAGGGTTCTCGTGTCCAATATTTTCATGAGCACTGATTAATAGACCATCATTTTCATTGGGGAAAAAATAGAGGTGTAAAAATTCATGATGAATTCAACACAACAACAAACGTTTGTGAATGTTTCTTTTGAGAACTCTCCAAAATCAATATTTGTGGCTTGAATGATGATTATTACACTAGTTTGCTTGCGTGATTTCCATAGAAATTCTCGAGTTAATCCATTAATTTAAGAAACGAACGCATTCAACTTTCTATAGCATCATTTAAATTTTTTATGAGCTTTTTACCGATTCAACTTGCACTATGTGAGTACAATGAAGCAACCTTCGTTTTTTTGGTCACTCTTTTTTTTGCTCACTCTCTCTTTAAAAGCAGAGAATGTCCATTCAGCGATTCCGATCATTCTTTTGTTGGCATACGAACACAAAAGTGAAGAAATTCACCAAAAAACATTTGCGGGAATACTTTATGAGGAGGAGAATGTTTGTTCATGAATTCATGCAATTCGTTGAATCATCTGCCAGTTTGGCTGACAATGGCTCTTATGAATGCTTCGAAAAACCATAATAATGAACGCTTTTTCATGCTCATCAATAAACAATTATCATTCTCAGTTAGTTCAAACACCTTCATTTATTGTGTGATTCCATAGATTTTTGTTAATGGAATTACTCTTGTGATATCTTCCGCATGAGATTGGGCTGAAGTACTGGTGATAGACAGACGCACTCTGATGACACTTCAACTTGGCGAATGAATTTTCAAAATGTCAAGTGAACACTCTCCTGTACGAACTGTTATCCGCCATAACGTAGGCGGATCTCAGTAAACAGTTAGTTTCCTTGAAATGCGTCGAGAGCATTTGAGAGTTACAGAAGGAGATCATTGAAAACAAAAAATGAGAAAAGAGTTTACCACATTATGCGCAATGCCCACAACGTTTGTCTTTGTTTTGCGTGGCGTCGGAATTGGTTTTGATTTTTCCTCCCACGGCGACGAATCGGTCGTCGAAGAGTTTGCCTCGTCACCATCTTCATGACTCATCGAGTTGCCTCGTACTCGAACTACAACTATTACCATTCATTTCATAATTCCTATCACAAAAATTCCACAAAACAATACCCACCCATATGGTTACATAGCAAACTGGAATTTTGTTTTTTCGTCACTTTCAACCAGCGAGTAATAAATAATTCTCGCCAAAACTTCGTTTCTCTCCTTCCTAAAAAAGAACGAGCACAAACCGGGTTTTCCAGGTTTCTTGACGACATGTCTGAGAGAGCAGCATTTGTAGAGTGCAGACGCTGATTGCGTCATCAGATCCGTCTTCCGCTCCCAAGTGTCATCTGATGTCAGACCGCTGTCATCAGACGTTCGATCCATCATCGTTGTGGGCAAAGCACCCTAGAAAACTACAACAATTACCACTGCTCCATTGAAATTTCATTCTTATTGTTAGTACCACACTCGAAAGCTCCTCGAAGAGCCGTCACCTATTTGTTGTCGCACTGATTCTTTCAAGGGTCTCATCTCGATTTCTCCACCAAATCGCTCAGTCAACTCACTCAATCTACTCCTTCTACGACAGCTCGTTCTCGTCTGGCCTTACCACGGAATCGAAGGTTTCGTGGTAAGGCCAGACGAGTTCAAATGGAAATTTTGACAACAAATTCAAAAAAGCTGGAAATTTCGATGGTTCTTAGAGCGCCTATCAACAATAGGTGCTCAACAGCAAATATGGAGAATGCCATCGTACACACTGTGGAGGAAACAATGTGTTTGAAACAAAATTCATTCGAACCATACAGGAAATTCGAATGCATCGAAAAAGTACACCAAAAAAGACACATAAAACATTTTTAACCTCTTCTCATATTCAAATAAGCATCTGCACAAATTTATTGAATTCACTGAATCCCAATTCTCCTACATCGTTTTGTTAAACGATAAAAATAATTGTGATCATTGTGGGAGCAATATAGGAAGCAAAACTGTGAAAATTCTAGTCAATGGCTAGTTGAACACTCGAACGGGTACTAGAATCTTTGAAGGACGGCCATCACTAAAAATTCGAGACAGAGTTGAGGATATCGATCGCAGAAACTCATATGAGCAAGCACTGAAAGGGTTGAGCTAATATCATATAGAAACAAACAGATGAACGCGACACTTGAGCTTGAAAATACTGATTCATGAATAGCAATAGTCACTCGATCACGTTCGGATGAGTTGGGTTGTTTTGAAAGTTCCTTTTTAATGAGTAAGAGCACCCAAAAGACTACTCCAGACACTTCACTCATTCACATCGCAGTAAACAACAACCAATGCATTTACTCAAGTCAACTAAAACTCAGTGCGTGTTTTGACGTAAACAACTGCAAGCTGACTACTGAATTATTCAAATACCAAACAATGACTCCCGTGAATCTTGTGAAAGTTATACGAATTTGGTGTACCGTTGACAGATGAAGTCTTAAATTCGAACTCAAATCGAGCGAGTGCCTTTCAACGATATATCATATATCTTATGTCCATATGTATACAACATCGTATACGATGAATAAATTCATTCTATAATTTAAGCAATTGAACTGACATTATTGCTGTTATATAGCAATTGTAAACGACAAATTGAATGAGGTTGACTGAGATGCATATCTTAGATGAAAAATATGAATCTTGAGAAAAGGAGAGGTGGTAACTAGCCGAATCGGACGAATTCATCAGGACGAATGGTCATTCGATGAGGTTTGCTTGAATGGGTTGAATGATTGTGAGTAGGTTTATTGGGTTTGTTCTGAGGGTGATACGTTTCAGAAACAGGTTCGTTTAGTGGGTTGGAGTGATATCCTGAGACTTGAACGCATTGTGTCACTCATGTGCAAACACGAATAGCACAGCAGAAATTCGAGACAAACGAGACGTGCTGGCGTTGGGCGAGAAAAAAGTTGGTGAATTATGCATGAATGCAAACGATGAATCTCTTCGGAATTCATCGCGAGAATATTCACT